AATATTTCGCATACGCACCGATAACTTCTGACACTTTTAAAATTAATAAGCAGTTATAGTTCAGTTTTAGTTAAATTTAATTCGCTGAAAAGATACAGATTGCCATTGACTTCTTTTTAAAACTTTTTACTTTAAAAGCCAAATTTTTCTCTTTTTTAAAAACTTAAAGTGAAGAACAAAAAAAATCAATACTAAAATAAACAATCTATTGGCCCCAAAATATTTATGTACATAAACAAACAGCAAATAAAAATAAAACAAATATACCGTCATAAAAAAGCAAATAACAACAGGAAGAAGCAAAAAATTGAAAAATACGAAATCATTTGAAAACATGTCATATAAATGGTAAAACAGGGTCTTTTTATAAATTTTTGACTCTGGTAAGACAGAATGACAGACAGTCATTGGGTTATAAATTCCATCATACGAATATACAAAACATGCCAATAAGACACGCGATTTAAGTTTGAATATTTTTTTTTTTTTTTTTTTTTTTGTAAAATCACACATTAACGAGTGTTTTATTTACGTATATTTAGGTTCATTTCGAAGTTTTTGAAGTTTTCTGAAACGCACACATATTTTTGTGTGTAACCTTTATCCATTTTTTTTTCGACAAAAAAGTGCGAATTGTTTGATTTGGTTTTCTGTTACGGGTTTTTTCGTATTTGCAATATTGAAATATTGCCTGATTTGTCTTTCATTTAGTGGCTGTGTTCGTTCACCTTTTTTCTTTGTTATAGGGTTTTATGACTTGTTTTTTGCCTTGTGGTTACCATGTGATTTGTTTTATTTCCTCTTTCCGATAGCAAACAAAAAAGATGGGAGGTTCTGTTCTGTATGTCTCGAAATGTTAATGGTTATGTTGTACATGACTGTTTATGTCATTTTCGTTCGCATTATTATACAAGTTACTTTGGCACCATCTCCTCCCAAAAAAGTAATAAATTGTTTATTTAAGTGTTGATTTAACTGGAAATGAATGACAAAGCTGTGTGCAAACGTTATCATTAGTAATAATCCCTAAAAGGAATAAATAAAATGTCAGGGTTTTTATATTTGATTATTCAACTGCATTTAAGTCTTTTCCCCTTTTCTGCATTATTTTCTTCATTTTTTCTTTGGTAAATTATTGACAATCAATTATTTAATGTTGTGACATTGCACTTATATATAAATAAAATGTGTGTGTGTATGTTATTTTACTTTTTGTTTCTGTCCAAATTTGGGTCATGAGTATGAATTTTAAAATTGCTAATAATTTAAAAAGTGTCAAACAAACATTATGAATAGTAAGCACAAAAGAGCCAAAAGAAAAAAATATAAAACGGTGCGTATGAGAATATTTTTTTAATATATTTTTTAATGAAATATAATCATACGCCACGGCAAAACCAATTTCTATAGTACTTGAACCAGAAATGATTATTACTGAACAAGAACTGAACTAAAACAGAACTATAAAAGAACTAAAACAGAACTAAAACAGAACTAAAACAGAACTAAAACAGAACTAAAACAGAACTAAAACAGAACTATAAAAGAACTATAAACAGAACTAGAAACAGAACTAGAACGAACAAACAGAACTAGAACAGAACTAGAACAGAACTAGAACAGAACTAGAACAGAACTAGAACAGAACTAGAACAGAACTAGAACAGAACTAGAACAGAACTAAACAGAACTAGAACAGAACTAGAACAGAACTAGAACAGAACTAGAACAGAACTAGAACAGAACTAGAACAGAACTAGAACAGAACTAGAACAGAACTAGAAAAAACTAGAACAGAACTAGAACAGAACTAGAACAGAACTAGAACAAACTAGAACAGAACTAGAACAGAACTAGAACAGAACTAGAACAGAACTAGAACAGAACTAGAACAGAACTAGAACAGAACTAGAACAGAACTAGAACAGAACTAGAACAGAACTAGAACAGAACTAGAACAGAACTAGAACAGAACTAGAACAGAACTAGAACAGAACTAGAACAGAACTAGAACAGAACTAGAACAGAACTAGAACAGAACTAGAACAGAACTAGAACAGAACTAGAACAGAACTAGAACAGAACTAGAACAGAACTAGAAAGAACTAGAACAGAACTAGAACAGAACTAGAACAGAACTAGAAGACTAGAACAGAACTAGAACAGAACTAGAACAGAACTAGAACAGAACTAGAACAGAACTAGAACAGAACTAGAACAGAACTAGAACAGAACTAGAACAGAACTAGACCAGAACTAGAACAGAACTAGAACAGAAACTAGAACAGAACTAGAACAGAACTAGAACAGAACTAGAACAGAACTAGAACAGAACCTAGAACAGAACTAGAACAGAACTAGAACAGAACTAGAACAGAACTAGAACAGACCTAGAACAGAACTAGAACAGAACTAGAACAGAACTAGAACAGAACTAGAACAGAACTAGAACAGAACTAGAACAGAACTAGAACAGAACTAGAACAGAACTAGAACAGAACTAGAACAGAACTAGAACAGAACTAGAACAGAACTAGAACTAACTAGAACAGAACTAGAACAGAACTAGAACAGAACTAGAACAGAACTAGAACAGAACTAGAACAGAACTAGAACAGAACTAGAACAGAACTAGAAACAGAACTAGAACAGAACTAGAACAGAACTAGAACAGAACTAGAACAGAACTAGAACAGAACTAGAACAGAACTAGAACAGAACTAGAACAGAACTAGAACAGAACTAGAACAGAACTAGAACAGAACTAGAACAGAACTAGAACAGAACTAGAACAGAACTAGAACAGAACTAGAACAGAACTAGAACAGAACTAGAACAGAACTAGAACAAACTAGAACAGAACTAGAACAGAACTAGAACAGAACTAGAACTAGAACAGAACTAGAACAGAACTAGAACAGAACTAGAACTGAACTAGAACAGAACTAGAACAGAACTAGAACAGAACTAGAACAGAAAGAGAACTAAAGAAAGAGAACTAGAACAGAACTAAACAGAACTAGAACAGAGAACTAGAACAAACTAGAACAGAAACTAGAACAGAACTAGAACTAGAACTAGAAACTAGAACAGAACTAGAACAGAACTAGAACTAGAACAGAAAGAACAGAACTAGAACAGAACTAGAACAGAACTAGAACAGAACTAGAACAGAAATAGAACTAATTAGAACAGAACTAGAACAGAACTAGAAAGAACTAGAATAGAACAGAACTAGAACAGAACTAGAACAGAACTAGAACAGAACTAGAACAGAACTAGAACAGAACTAGAACAGAACTAGAACAGAACAGACAGAACTAGAAAGAACAGAACTAGAACAGAACTAGAACAGAACTAGAACAGAACTAGAACAGAACTAGAACATAATTAGAACAGAACTAGAACAGAACTAGAACAGAACTAGAACTAGAACAGAACTAGAACAGAACTAGAACAGAACTAGAACAGAACTAGAACAAACTAGAACAGAACTAGAACAGAACTAGAACAGAACTAGAACAGAACTAGAACATAATTAGACAGAACTAGAACAGAACTAGAACAGAACTAGAACTAGAACAGAACTAGAACAGAACTAGACAGAACTAGAACAGAACTAGAACTGAACTAGAACTGAACCAGAACTGAACTAGAACAGAACTAGAACTGAACTAGAACAGAACTAGAACTGAACTAGAACAGAACTAGAACAGAACTAGAACAGAACTAGAACAGAACTAGAACAGAACTAGAACAGAACTAGAACAGAACTAGAACAGAACTAGAACAGAACTAGAACAGAACTAGAACAGAACTAGAACAGAACTAGAGCAGAACTAGAAAAGTACTAGAACAGAACTAGAACAGAACTAGAACAGAACTAGAACAGAACTAGAACACAACTAGAACAGAACTAGAACAGAACTAGAACAGAACTAGAACAGAACTAGAACAGAACTAGAACAGAACTAGAACAGAACTAGAACAGAACTAGAACAGAACTAGAACAGAACTAGAACAGAACTAGAACAGAACTAGAACAGAACTAGAACAGTAGAACAGAACTAGAACAGAACTAGAACAGAACTTGAACAGAACTAGAACAGAACTAGAACAGAACTAGAGCAGAACTAGAAAAGTACTAGAACAGAACTAGAACAGAACTAGAACAGAACTAGAACAGAACTAGAACAGAACTAGAACACAACTAGAACAGAACTAGAACAGAACTAGAACAGAACTAGAACAGAACTAGAACAGAACCAGAACAAAACTAGAACAGAACTAGAACAGAACTAGAACAGAACTAGAACAGAACTAGAACAGAACTAGAACAGAACTAGAACAGAACTAGAACAGAACTAGAACAGAACTAGAACAGAACTAGAACAGAACTAGAACAGAACTAGAACAGAACTAGAACAGAACTAGAGCAGAACTAGAACAGAACTGAAACTGACTACGAGTACAACTAGAGGAGAAAAATATATTTGTTTTTATTTGTTATTGATTATTCATTCCGTTTTAATTATTAATTAAACATTATTTCGTTTGCCATGAAACAAAAGTAATTGCGTTAAAAAACAAAAAATTGTAACGATATTCATGTTTAAATATTAATTGTTATATTAATTTTTAGCAAAAATTTAACAGAAGCCGAAAGGAAAAAGAGCTTAACATACAATATATCAAAACCTAACAACAAATTTAAAAAAATCTACCTTTCCTACAGAACTCTCAAGTTCGCTGTAGTTATTATGAAGTAGCTTTTGTAAAATCTTGACAGTTAAGCTCTTTTTCACTTCAACCTGTTGGCGGTTAATAATTAAACCTATTGACAAGTAGCTGGTTTTTTATTTAAACCATTTAATTTTATTGTTTTTTCTGTTTTTGTTTGTCGTGTTAAATAAACAAATTAATATTGCAAAAACAAATGTTAATGTATTTCTCTGTAATTGCAATTTTATGTGTTTTCCCCCCATTTCCATTTTTTGCAGATGTGGTTTCATGTATGGCGAGCTGACAGATAAAGAAACGGTGGCCCGTTTGGAATACACCTTGGAAAATCAACAACAGGACCAATTTGAAATTTTATTATATAAAAAGAACAGTAAGTAAAAGAGAGAAAAGGAAAGGCAAAGGTTATTATTCAAACCTTCTTTACATTTTGTAGGCTAAAGTTGGTACCTTTTTACAACCATCTATTTACCCCCTTTTTAAGCTAAAAGTCTTTTATATCAGAACTATTGCCGCTCAATTAAAATAAATATTTTGAAATAGTGATAAACATGACTCAAGAATTTTGCTTTAGGTTTGGCTAAACGCTGCAGGATTCCCTTTAAAAATGGCTACAGGAGAAAAATAGAAGCTAATATTCCGAAACTTTAGAAAACTTCAAAAAACTTTAATTTAATATTATTTTTATTTAGTAGTTCAGTTCTAGTTAAGTTGCTAGTTCAGTTTTAGCTCAGTTTAAGTTTAGTTTAAGTTCAGTTTAAGTTCAGTTTAAGTTCAGTTTAAGCTCAGTTTAAGTTCAGTTTAAGTTCAGTTTAAGTTCAGTTCAGTTCTGTTCTAGTTCTGTTCTAGGTTCTGTTCTAGTTCTGTTCTAGTTCTGTCTAGTTCTGTTCTTAGTTCTGTTCTAGTTCTATTCTAGTTCTGTTCTAGTTCTGTTCTAGTTCTGTTCTAGTTCTGTTCTAGTTCTGTTCTAGTTCTTCTAGTTCTGTTCTAGTTTTCTAGTTCTGTTCTAGTTCTGTTTCTAGTTCTGTTCTAGTTCTGTTCTAGTTCTGTTCTAGTTCTGTTCTAGTTTTGTTCTAGTTTTGTTCTAGTTTTGTTCTAGTTTGTTTTTCTAGTTCTGTTCTAGTTCTGTTCTAGTTCTGTTCTAGTTCTGTTCTAGTTCTGTTCTAGTTCTGTTTCTAATTCTGTTCTAGTTCTGTTCTAGTTCTGTTCTAGCTCTGTTCTAGTTCTGTTCTAGTTCTGTTCTAGTTCTGTTCTAGTTCTGTTCTAGTTCTGTTCTAGTTTCTAGTTCTGTTCTAGTTCTGTTCTAGTTCTGTTCTAGTTCTGTTCTAGTTCTGTTCTAGTTCTGTTCTAGTTCTGTTTAGTTCTTTCTAGTTCTGTTCTAGTTCTGTTCTAGTTCTGTTCTAGCTCTGTTCTAGTTCTGTTCTAGTTCTGTTCTAGTTCTGTTCTAGTCTGTCTAGTTCTGTTCTAGTTCTGTTCTAGTTCTGTTCTAGTTCTGTTCTAGTTCTGTTCTAGTTCTGTTCTAGTTCTGTTCTAGTTCTGTTCTGTTCTAGTTCTGTTCTAGTTCTGTTCTAGTTCTGTTCTAGTTCTGTTCTAGTTCTGTTCTAGTTCTGTTCTAGTTCCTTTCTAGTTCTGTTCTAGTTCTGCTGTAGTTCTTTTTTAGTTCTGTTCTAGTTCTAGTTCGATTTTGTTAATAAATCCCATTTTCCTGGGATTTTTATTTATTTTTCTGTGAGTACCTTTTAAAGGTTTAAAGTATTTTGCATATATTTTACTGTCACTCCTAACATAATCTTTTTTATAGCACCTGTGTCCATAAGGTGTGCTGAAGCAACAGTAGCAAGCTACAAACTGACGTTAAAAAATTTAAAGCAAAAAAGTGCATTAAGTTAGTATTTAGCGATCTAGACATATGGGAAAAATTTTTACCATCAAAATGTTTATATTTGTTGTTGTTTTTGGGTTCAAAAAGTAATAAATTTGTTTGGGTAAATACTGCAAATAAAGGGAGAAAATGAAATAAATTACAGTTAGAGAAATCACCAGATTTTTAAATGACTCTGAAGCACGTTAGTACGTTAAATACAAACATTTTGTTCAGTGTATAATATATTCCTCAAGTGCAGTCATGTGTTTGTGCAATTTATTTTTATGGTTTTAGTTGCTACTGCTGCTGTTGCTGCTGCAATTGCTATTTGCTGCTTAAACCATAAAAAAGAGCACAATTTTATTTTATGCTTCCCTCCCTACCCCTGGCTGCCTTTGGTGCTAAAAAAAAAACACTATAGAAACTAGTTTACTATACAGTATTGGAAACTACGAAAAAAAGAACAATAGAGTGCTGACGTCAAATATTTTAAACTAGAAAACAAAAATAACAAATAATGTTAAAAAACTAAAGAAATAAAAGATTTGTTTGACAAAAATCGCAAAAAAAACTAACTGAAGGATTTAGAAAATAGCATAACTTATAACTATATAGAGACAACTAGTCCAACAGCTCAAAAGTATGCTACAATAAGCTTTAAGAAATCAAAACATACAGCTTAAACGTTTAAAAACAATTGCTATCGATATTAATCTAATAGCAAGCAAAAAACTGTGATAATATTTATAGATTTAGGCAGATATTAACAAAAAAACGGAAAATGCCTAAAAGTATGCTAAAGCAAAGATAAGGAAGTAATATAATTAAAAGAAAACACCAGAGGAAATAACTGAAAATAATGAAAAGGTTTTGAAAATTAAAGAAAGGAAAAAATTTAATTAAACAGAACTAGAACAGAACTAGAACAGAACTAGAACAGAACTAGAACAAACTAGAACTAGAACAGAACTAGACCAGAACTAGACCAGAACTAGAACAGAACTAGAACAGAACTAGAAACAGAACTAGAACAGAACTAGAACAGAACTAGAACAGAACTAGACAGAACTAGACCAGAACTAGAACAGAACTAGAACAGAACTCGAACAGAACTAGAACAGAACTAACAGACTAGAACAGAACTAGAACAGAACTAGAACAGAAACTAGAACAGAACTAGAACAGAACTAGAACAGAACTAGAACAGAACTAGACAGACTAGAACAGAACTAGACAGAACTAGAACAGAAACTAGAACAGAACTAGAACAAAACTAGAACAGACTAGAACAGAATAGAACAGAAACTAGACAGAATTAGAACAGAACTAGAACAGAACTAGAACAGAACTAGAACAGAACTAGAACAGAACTAGAACAGAACTAGAACAGAACTAGAACAGAACTAGAACAGAACTAGAACAGAACTAGAACAGAACTAGAACCGAACTAGAACAGAACTAGAACCGAACTCGACTAGAACAGAACTAGAACAGAACTAGAACAGAACTAGAACAGAACTAGAACAGAACTAGAACAGAACTAGAACAGAACTAGAACAGAACTAGAACAGAACTAGAACAGGAACTAGAACAGAACTAGAACAGAACTAGAACAGAACTAGAACAGAACTAGAACAGAACTAGAACAGAACTAGAACAGAACTAGAACAGAACTAGAACAGAACTAGAACAGAACTAGAACAGAACTAGAAGAGACTAGAACAGAACTAGAATAGAACTAGAACAGAACTAGAAGCACTAGAACTAGAACTATAGACTAGGACTATAGACTAGACTAGACTAGACTAGACTATAGACTAGACTATAGATCGACTATAGACTAGACTATAGACTTAGACTATAGACTAGACTATAGACTAGACTATAGACTAGACTATAGACTAGACTATAGGACTAGGACTATAGACTAGCTAGACTAGACTAGGACTAGACTAGACTAGACTAGACTAGACTAGAACTAGACTAGACTAGACTAGACTAGACTAGACTAGACTAGACTAGACTAGACTAGACTAGACTAGACTAGACTAGACTACTAGACTAGACTACTAGACTAGACTAACTAGACTATAGACTAGACTATAGACTAGGACTATAGACTAGACTATTAGACTAGACTATAGACTAGACTATAGACTAGACTATAGACTAGACTATAGACTAGGACTATAGACTAGACTATAGACCTAGACTATAGACTAGACTATAGACTAGACTATAGACTAGACTATAGACTAGACTATAGACTAGACTATAGACTAGACTATAGACTAGACTATAGACTAGACTATAGACTAGGACTATAGACTAGACTATAGACTAGACTATAGACTAGACTATAGACTAGACTATAGACTAGACTATAGACTAGACTATAGACTAGACTATCGACTAGACTATAGACTAGACTATAGACTAGACTATAGACTAGACTATAGACTAGACTATAGACTAGAATATAGACTAGACTATAGACTAGACTGTAGACTAGACTATAGACTAGACTATATACTAGACTATAGACTAGACTATAGACTAGACTATATACTAGACTATAGACTAGACTATAGACTAGACTATAGACTAGACTATAGACTAGACTATAGACTAGACTATAGACTAGACTATAGACTAGACTATAGACTAGACTAGACTATAGACTAGACTATAGACTAGACTAGACTATAGACTAGACTATAGACTAGACTATAGACAAGACTATAGACTAGACTATAGACTAGACTATAGACTAGACTATAGACTAGACTTTACAGTTTTTAGTATAAACCAGAATATATAGTAAGTAGTATTGACTATTTATCTGGTGAAAAAACTATAAATCGGCCTTTTCTTTCTGGTCACTATCTCGGATTATGATCTTAACTATAAATCAAACTATAACTGAGTCTATATATATTTTGTAATATTTTTATACAGCATCTGCTTTTTTATTGCTTTTTATGAAAGTTGCCTTAAAGTAGGCACTAGTTCCAAACTATTTTCTTTATTATCCTAGCAGTTATGTTAAACTTTTTTAAGCAAATTAAATCATAAATTGTAGATTTTTATTTAGCCATGAAAACAAATATATGTAATAGCTACTTAAAACTGCAGGCTTGTCTCAGACAAGAAAAAATATTTATTTATGCAAATTTTGTAGCATACTTTATGCAGGAAAATTTTTATGTTATGAGTAACAAATAAGCAAATGTGTTTGTATCAGAAATTTCCCTAAGATTTTATGGCAAAAATATGAATACAATCCCTCATTTTTGCACGTGTTTATGTTAAATAATAAAAGGATTTATGGAGATTAATAAAGATTATAAAATAAAAAGTATACGTGTAGGCTTAAGGAAAAGTAAAGGCTACTTTAAGGCAGCAAAGGGAATAAGAAAATGAAGTTTAAGGAAGTTTTTGCGCAAAGTTTAATCAAAAAGTTTAAATATTTTAAAGCCTGCTTTTAGGTGTTGGAAACTTTGTAATAGTTTGCTATTTTGGCTATTATTTAAGCTAATATCTCTGACAGTTTTTGTATACATAAACTAAATATTTTCCTTACATTTTCTCCCATTTTAACTTGTTATCTATTTAATCATGGCTTACTCCTATTCCAAACCAACCAAAATTTCTCTAAACTTTTCTCTTATGTGTGGTATTTAATTAAGCTTCCATGTAGATGTTTGTAGATGTCCTTCATTACACATGTTCCCTAACTTGCATGGTTGTCGAAACTAAAATTTCATTTACCCCTAATATATACATTCAAAATATGTATTTGTAATATGTAATTCTATAAACTAATTAAAATTCTGCTAAACTTTAATTAGTTGTATAGAAAAGTTCTTTGTGTGCATTTCTGTAAAAACATGTTAATTATGCAATCAATTACTATGATTATATGCTAAATTTTGAATTAACAAATACGAATAATAAACTAAAATAATGTAGAAATAATATTGAAATAATTGCCAGGTACAAAGTAAGCAAAATAGGTCAAACATTATTTATTGATGAAAAATAAATGAATTTGTATTGATTTTAATTTGGTAGCAAGAAAAATAAAATTGATAGTCTATGCAATACATTGTTTAGACAATGCAAAGGGGAAGGAGAAGTAAAATGGCTGAAGTATATTATATAGTCTGGTTTATGGTCTAGTATATAGTTTAGTTTATATAATCTTGTATATAGTCTAGTCTATTATCTCGTCCATAATCTATAGTGTAGTATAAAGTCTAGTCTATAGTCTACACTTACCTATAATTTAATCTATAGTCGATTTTATCTTCTAGTCTATAGCCTACTCGATAGTCTAGTCTATAGTATATTCCATCTATCAATAGTCTAGCCTAGTTCTCGTTCTGTTCTAGTTCTGTTCTAGTTCTGTTCTAGTTCTGTTCTAGTTCTGTTCTAGTTCTGTTCTAGTTCTGTTCTAGTTCTGTTCTAGTTCTGTTCTAGTTCTGTTCTAGTTCTGTTCTAGTTCTATTCTAGTTTTGTTCTATTCTGTTCTGTTCTGTTCTAGTTCTGTTTCTAGTTCTTTCTAGTTCTGTTCTAGTTCTGTTCTAGTTCTGTTCTAGTTCTGTTCTAGTTCTGTTCTAGTTCTGTTCTAGTTCTGTTCTAGTTCTGTTCTAGTTCTGTTCTAGTTCTGTTCTAGTTCTGTTCTAGTTCTGTCTGTTGTTCTATTCTGTTCTAGTCTGTCTAGTTCTGTTCTAGTTCTGTTCTAGTTCTGTTCTAGTCTGTTCTAGTTCTGTTCTAGTTCTGTTCTAGTTCTGTTCTAGTTCTGTTCTAGTTCTGTTTCTAGTTCTGTTCTAGTTCTGTTCTAGTTCTGTTTCTAGTTCTGTTCTAGTTCTGTTCTAGTTCTGTTCTAGTTCTGTTCTAGTTCTGTTCTAGTTCTGTTCTAGTTCTGTTCTAGTTATGTTCTAGTTCTGTTCTAGTCTGTTCTAGTTTTCTAGTTCTGTTCTAGTTCTGTTCTAGTTCTGTCTAGTTTCTGTTCTAGTTCTGTTCTAGTTCTGTTCTAGTTCTGTTCTAGTTCTGTTCTAGTTCTGTTCTAGTTCTTTTCTAGTTCTGTTCTAGTTCTTTTCTGTCTAGTTCTGTTCTAGTTCTGTTCTAGTTCTGTTCTAGTTCTGTTCTAGTTCTGTCTAGTTCTGTTCTAGTTCTGTTCTAGTTCTGTTCTAGTTCTGTTCTAGTTCTGTTCTAGTTCTGTTCTAGTTCTGTTCTAGTTCTGTTCTAGTTCTGTTCTAGTTCTGTTCTAGTGCTGTTCTAGTTCTGTTCTAGTTCTGTTCTAGTTCTGTTCTAGTTCTGTTCTAGTTCTTTCTAGTTCTGTTCTAGTTCTGTTCTAGTTCTGTTCTAGTTCTGTTCTAGTTCTGTTCTAGTTCTAGTTCTGTTCTAGTTCTGTTCTAGTTCTGTTCTAGTTCTGTTCTAGTTCTGTGCTAGTTCTGTTCTAGTTCTGTTCGAGTTCTGTTCTAGTTCTGTTCTAGTTCTGTTCTAGTTCTGTTCTAGTTCTGTTTCTAGTTCTGTTCTAGTTCTGTTCTAGTTCTGTTCTGTTTAGTTCTGTTCTAGTTCTGTTCTAGTTCTGTTCTAGTTCTGTTCTGTTCTAGTTCTGTTCTAGTTCTGTTCTAGTTCTGTTCTAGTTCTGTTCTAGTTCTGTTCTAGTTCTGTTCTAGTTCAGTTCTAGTTCAGTTCTAGTTCAGTTCTAGTTCAGTTCTAGTTCAGTTCTAGTTCAGTTCTAGTTCAGTTCTAGTTCAGTTCTAGTTCAGTTCTAGTCAGTTCTAGTTCTGTTCTAGTTCTGTTCTAGTTCTATTCAAGTTCTGTTCTAGTTCTGTTCTAGTTCTGTTCTAATTCTGTTCTAGTTCTGTTCTAGTTCTGTTCAAGTTCTGTTCAAGTTCTGTTCTAGTTCAGTTTTAGTTCAGTTCTAGTTCAGTTCTAGTTCTGTTCTAGTTCTGTTCTAGTTCTGTTCTAGTTCTGTTCTAGTTCTGTTCAAGTTCTGTTCTAGTTTTCTAGTTCTGTTTTAATTCTGTTCTAGTTCTGTTCTAGTTCTGTTCTAGTTCTGTTCTAGTTCTGTTCAAGTTCTGTCTAGTTCTGTTCTAGTTCTGTTCAAGTTCAGTTCTAGTTCAGTTCTAGTTCAGTTCTAGTTCAGTTCTAGTTCAGTTCTAGTTCAGTTCTAGTTCAGTTCTAGTTCAGTTCTAGTTCAGTTCTAGTTCAGTTCTAGTTCAGTTCTAGTTCAGTTCTAGTTCAGTTCTAGTTCAGTTCTAGTTCAGTTCTAGTTCAGTTCCAGTTCTAGTTCAGTTCTAGTTCAGTTCTAGTTCAGTTCTAGTTCAGTTCTAGTTCAGTTCTAGTTCAGTTCTAGTTCAGTTCTAGTTCAGTTCTAGTTCAGTTCTAGTTCAGTTCTAGTTCAGTTCTAGTTCTAGTTCAGTTCTAGTTCTCTTCTAGTTCTGTTCTAGTTCTGTTCTAGTTCTGTTCTAGTTCTGTTCTAGTTCTGTTCTAGTTCTGTTCTAGTTCTGTTCTAGTTCTGTTCTAGTTCTGTTCTAGTTCTGTTCTAGTTCTGTTCTAGTTCTGTTCTAGTTCTGTTCTAGTTCTGTTCTAGTTCTGTTCTAGTTCTGTTCTAGTTCTGTTCTAGTTCTGTTCTAGTTCTGTTCTAGTTCTGTCTAGTTCTGTTCTAGTTCTGTTCTAGTTCTGTTCTAGTTCTGTTCTAGTTCTGTTCTAGTTCTGTTCTAGTTCTGTTCTAGTTCTGTTCTAGTTCTGTTCTAGTTCTGTTCTAGTTCTGTTCTAGTTCTGTTCTAGTTCTGTTCTAGTGTCAGTTCTGTTCTAGTTCTGTTCAAGTTCTGTTCTAGTTCTGCTCTAGTTCTGTTCTAGTTCTGTTCTAGTTCAGTTCTAGTTCAGTTCTAGTTCAGTCTAGCTCAGTTCTAGTTCAGTTTCTAGTTCAGTTCTAGTTCAGTTCTAGTCAGTTTTAGTTCAGTTCTAATGCAGTTCTAGTGCAGTTCTGGTGCAGTTCTAGTTCAGTTCTAGTTTAGTTTAGTTCAGTTCTAGTTCAGTTCTAGTTCAGTTCTGGTTCAGTTCTAGTTCAGTTCTAGTTCAGTTCTAGTTCAGTTCTAGTTCAGTTCTAGTTCAGGTCTAGTTCAGTTCTAGTTCTAGATATGTTCTAGTTATGTTCTAGTCCTGATCTAGTTCAATTATATAAACCTGACTATAAACCATTGCTGTAAATTTAAATTTATTAACCCCTGTTTAATACTGCGCTCAGATTAGTAATAAACATTATTATTCTACTACTGAATATGCAAAAAGCATAAAAAGGTTAAATGCAAAATTTGCCAAATACACATTAATGTATTCGTATGTAAGCCTTATAATGAATTTATTGAAGTATAAAGTGTTTTTGCTTTCGTACGTATAAAACAGATGGGTTTTGTGAAACCAATTAAATGGTAATGTATTGAGTATAGAGATCCTTGTATATCCTTTACACTATTTTGGTAGTTTGTATATAAAAAGTAATATAGTAGTTTATGTCTATGTGTATGTTTGTGGTCTTCAACATATTTATAACCATTTCAACTACTAAAACAGCTAACACGTTAAAATACTGGTTTCATAATTGAAATTAACAAATTTTCCCATAACTTTTGCCCGTGTGTTATCAAAAACTGCTAAATCATTAAAAATTGGTTTTATGATTAATAAAATTTTCCAACAAAAAAAAACACAAAAACAATTTTCCAATTGATACATATTTGCAGATTTACAATGTGGCTGCGCTTTGACACAGTTTGGCAAAGTTTTACCAGGTAGCAAAACAAGTAAATTTTATTCTTCTTTTTTAATTATTATTATTGTTATTATTTATTATTATTAAAAACACTTATTTAATTATTTATGAACATTATTTTATTTGAAATTTTTTGAACTTTTTAATTAATAATTTATGATATTTATTATTAAACTAATGACAAAATTTTTAATAAACAAAATATATAAATTACTATTGTCATAGTTAAACACAGGTTTGACCCAAATGCAAGTGTAATGAATTACAGCTGCCTAATTGATAATTAAATTTAAAATGCAATAAATAATGAAAATTTAAGCATAATAAAAAAAATAAAATAACGGTAACACACGACGACCTTTTTCGAATGGTCTACAAATTGGACTATAAAACATAGTTCTAGTTCAGTTCTGTTCTAGTTCTGTTCTAATTCTGTTCTGTTCTAGTTCTGTTCTAGTTCTGTTCTAGTTCTGTTCTAGTTCTGTTCTAGTTCTGTTCTAGTTCTGTTCTAGTTCTGTTCTAGTTCTGTTCTAGTTCTGTTCTAGTTCTGTTCTAGTTCTGTTCTAGTTCTGTTCTAGTTCTGTTCTAGTTCTGTTCTAGTTCTGTTCTAGTTCTGTTCTAGTTCTGTTCTAGTTCTGTTCTAGTTCTGTTCTAGTTCTGTTCTAGTTCTGTGTCTAGTTCTGTTCTAGTTCTGTTCTAAGTTCTGTTCTAGTTCTGTTCTAGTTCTGTTCTAGTTCTGTTTCTAGTTCTGTTCTAGTTCTGTTCTAGTTCTGTTCTAGGTCTGTTCTGTTCTAGTCGGTTCTAGTTCTGTTCTAGTTCTGTTCTGGTTCTAGTTCTGTCTGTTCTAGTTCTGTTCTGTTTCTAGTTCTGTTCTAGTTCTGTTCTAGTTCTGTTCTGTTCTAGTTCTGTTCTAGTTCTGTTCTAGTTCTGTTCTAGTTCTGTTCTAGTTCTGTTCTAGTTCTGTTCTAGTTCTGTTCTAGTTCTGTTCTAGTCTGTTCTAGTTCTGTTCTAGTTCTGTTCTAGTTCTGTTCTAGTTCTGTTCTAGTTCTGTTCTAGTTCTGTTCTAGTTCTGTTCTAGTTCTGTTCTGTTCTAGTTCTGTTCTAGTTCTGTTCTAGTTCTGTTCTAGTTCTGTTCTAGTTCTGTTCTAGTTCTGTTCTAGTTCTGTTCTAGTTCTGTTCTAGTTCTGTTCTAGTTCTGTTCTAGTTCTGTTCTAGTTCTGTTCTAGTTCTGTTCTAGTTCTGTTCTAGTTCTGTTCTAGTTCTGTTCTAGTTCTGTTCTAGTTCTGTTCTAGTTCTGTTCTAGTTCTGTTCTAGTTCTGTTCTAGTTCTGTTCTAGTTCTGTTCTAGTTCTGTTCTAGTTCTGTTCTAGTTCTGTTCTAGTTTCTTTTCTAGTTCTGTTCTAGTTCTGTTCTAGTTCTGTTCTAGTTCTGTTCTAGTTCTGTTCTAGTTCTGTTCTAGTTCTGTTCTAGTTCTGTTCTGTTCTAGTTCTGTTCTAGTTCTGTTCTAGTTCTGTTCTAGTTCTGTTCTAGTTCTGTTCTAGTTCTGTTCTAGTTCTGTTCTAGTTCTGTTCTAGTTCTGTTCTAGTTCTGTTCTAGTTCTATTCTAGTTCTGTTCTAGTTCTGTTCTAGTTCTGTTCTAGTTCTGTTCTAGTTCTGTTCTAGTTCTGTTCTAGTTCTGTTCTAGTTCTGTTCTAGTTCTGTTCCAGTTCTGTTCTAGTTCTGTTCCAGTTCTATTCTAGTTCTGTTCTAGTTCTGTTCCAGTTCTGTTCTAGTCTGTTCTAGTTCTGTTCTAGTTCTGTTCTAGTTCTGTTCTAGTTCTGTTCTAGTTCTGTTCTAGTTCTGTTCTAGTTCTTTCTAGTTCTGTTCTAGTTCTGTTCTAGTTCTGTTCTAGTTCTGTTCTAGTTCTGTTCTAGTTCTGTTCTAGTTCTGTTCTAGTTCTGTTCTAGTTCTGTTCTAGTTCTGTTCTAGTTCTGTTAGTTCTAGTTCTGTTCTAGTTCTTCTAGTTCTGTTCTAGTTCTGGTCTAGTTCTGTTCTAGTTCTGTTCTAGTTCTGTTCTAGTTCTGTTCTAGTTCTGTTCTAGTTCTGTTTCTAGTTCTGTTCGAGTTCTGTTCTAGTTCTGTTCTAGTTCTGTTCTAGTTCTTTCTAGTTCTGTTCTAGTTCTGTTCTAGTTCTTTCTATTCTGTTCTAGTTTCTGTTTCTAGTTCGTTCTAGTTCTGTCTAGTTCTTTCTAGTTTCTTTCTAGTTCTGTTCTAGTTCTGTTCTAGTTCTGTTCTAGTTCTGTTCTAGTTCTGTTCTAGTTCTGTTTCTAGTTCTGTTCTAGTTCTGTCTGTTCTATGTTCTGTTCTAGTTCTGTTCTAGTTCTGTTCTAGTCTGTTCTAGTCTGTTCTAGTTCTGTTCTAGTTCTGTTCTAGTTCTGTTATAGTTCTGTTCTAGTTCTGTTCTAGTTCTGTTTAGTTCTGTTCTAGTTCTGTTCTAGTTCTGTTCTAGTTCTGTTCTAGTTCTGTTCTAGTTCTGCTTCTAGTTCTGTTCTAGTTCTGTTCTAGTTCTGTTCTAGTTCTGTTCTAGTTCTGTTCTAGTTCTGTTCTAGTTCTGTTCTAGTTCTGTTCTAGTTCTGTTCTAGTTCTGTTCTAGGTTCTGTTCTGTTCTGGTTCTGTTCTTGGTTTTCCTGGTTCTGCTGTTCTGGTTCTGTTCTGGTTCTGGATCTGGTTCTGTCTGGTTCTGTTGTTTCTGTTCTGGTTCTGATCTGGTTCTGATCTGGTTCTGATTCTGGTTCTGAATCTGGTTCTGTTCTAGTTCTGTTCTAGTTCTGTTCTAGTTCTGTTCTAGTTCGGTTCTAGTTCGTTCTAGTTCTGTTCTAGTTCTGTTCTAGTTCTGTTCTAGTTCTGTTCTAGTGCTGTTCTAGTGCTGTTCTAGTTTCTCTTCTAGTTCGGTTCTAGTTTCTGTTCTAGTTCTGTCTAGTTCTGTTCTAGTTCTGTTCTAGTTCTGTTCTAGTTCTGTTCTAGTTCTGTTCTAGTTCTTGTCTGTCTAGTTCTGTTCTAGTTCTGTTCTAGTTCTGTTCTAGTTCTTTCTAGTTCTGTTCTAGTTCTGTTTCAGTTTCTGTTCTAGTTCTGTTCTAGTTCTGTTCTAGTTCTGTTCTAGTTCTGTTCTAGTTCTGTTCTAGTTCTGTTCTAGTTCTGTTCTAGTTCTGTTCTAGTTCTGTTCTAGTTCTGTTCTAGTTCTGTTCTAGTTCTGTTTCTAGTTCTGTTCTAGTTCTGTCTAGTTCTGTTCTGTTCTAGTTCTGTTCTAGTTCTGTTTCTAGTTCTGTTCTAGTTCTGTCTAGTTCTGTTATAGTTCTGTTCTAGTTCTGTTATAGTTCTGTTGTTCTGTTAGTTCTGTTCTAGTTCTGTTCTAGTTCTGTTCTAGTTCTGTTCTAGTTCTGTTCTAGTTCTGTTCTAGTTCTGTTCTAGTTCTGTTCTAGTTCGTGTTCTAGTTCTGTTCTAGTTCTGTTCTATTTCTGTTCTAGTTCTGTTCTAGTTCTGTTCTAGTTCTGTTCTAGTTCTGTTCTGTTCTGGTTCTGTTCTGGTTCTGTTCTGGTTCTGTTCTGGTTCTGTTCTGGTTCTGATCTGGTTCTGATCTGGTTCTGATCTGGTTCTGATCTGGTTCTGATCTGGTTCTGTTCTGGTTCTGTTCTGGTTCTGTTCTAGTTCTGTTCTAGTTCTGTTCTAGTTCTGTTCTAGTTCTGTTCTAGTTCTGTTCTAGTTCTGTCTAGTTTCTGTTTCTAGTTCTGTTTCTAGTTCTGTTCTAGTTCTGTTCTAGTCTGTTCTAGTTCTGTTCTAGTTCTGTTCTAGTTCTGTTCTAGTTCTGTTCTAGTTCTGTTCTAGTTCTGTTCTATTTCTGTTCTAGTTATCTTCTAGTTCTACTCTATGTTTGTTTCTAGTTCTGTTTTAGTATTGTTTTCTACATCTGTTTTAGTTCAATCGAGGCTCTTTCCATTTTGCTGTTCCTTTATTGAGATTCTAAAGAACTCTTTGACCCTTTTTTCCAAACTATTTGATAAACAAACATGTTCTCTTAGGAAAAGCAAACAAAACTTAAGTGGCCGTATTTATATTTTTTGTTCTTCTTGTCATCTGTTTTAACTACGAAAAACAACTTAAACTAGCAACCGTCTTAGATTTTTATCTAAAACAATATAGAAAACTCTACAGCATAAGGTGGCCATATTGAGGGCAATTAAACCCTATATATAAAACAACAAACACATTAAAAACCACATTTAGCCTGCCTAAATGCAACAGGAAGCTTTGTGTTGAAACGTCAACCAACAAAAAATCAAAAGAAAAACAGCAAAGAAATAAAGAAGACAAACATTCAATAATTGGCCAGGCCGAAAAGATATTTCAAAAGTCCCTAAGAAACCCTTAGAAAAAGAAATTGAGATGACACTTACAAAGTAACAAAGATGTTAGCAGACTCCCCGGCAAAGAGACAACATATTGTTAACAACATGTATACATACATAAATTCCTTTTTGCCGTTCCTGCTTAAGAGTCGAAAAATACTTTAATAAATGTAGCATGTAGGAATATATTTTACATACTCTTTGGGTTTTTGTTTATTTAAAGATATTTTTGTTATGTTAAAAACAATTTTGTTATCTGGAGGCAATAACAAAAAAACACAACAAAAAAACCACAAACGTATAAGAAAAAATTCAAATGAGAGCATGTGGCACGTTGAAGAAAAATGAACGGAAAAAAATAGAAAACAAATCATGTTGTAAGACCACTTGAGGGGTAGATATTGTTAAAAACCGCAATGAGGAAAAAATCTAACATATAACAAAACAAAAAGCAAATAAAAATAAACCTTTCGTAGCAATAAATGGTGAGCAGGTGTGTTATTTTTTATAAAGTTTCAAACAAGGAGTGGCAGAAGATTAAGTAAACAAGGTTCTTGTTTGAGTTAGTTCTGTTTTTGTTCTGTTGTAGTCCTGTTCTAGATCTGTTTTAGTTCTGTTCTAGTTCTGTTCTAGTTCTGTTCTAGTTCTGTT